TTTCAACATTATTTAAACCTTTCGACATTGTCTAAACCTTTCGACAGTTTCGACTTTTAAAAATAAAAAGTCAAAACATCTAAATAGGTTTCAACTTTCGACAATTGTCAATACCCTGAGGTTTCGTCAAGCAACTATACATTTGGTAAGCTAGTTATTGGAGTATTAAAGCAATTGAGTTCTTTTAAGGAATCAGGTAATATTGGTAGGATAGTTATTGGAGTATTAAAGCAATCAAGTTTTATTAAGGAGTTGGGTAATGTTGGTAGGACAGTTATTTGAATAAAAGAGCAGTTAAGATAAGTTAAGGAGTTGGGTAATGTTGGTAGGATAGTTATTTGAGTAGAAGAGCAATCAAGTTCCATTAAGGAGTTGGGTAATGTTGGTAGGATAGTTATTTTAGTATAAGAGCAATAAAGTATTTTTAAGAGTTGGGTAATGTTGGTAGGATAGTTATTTGAGTATAAGAGCAATAGAGTTTTATTAAGGAGTTGGGTAATGTTGGTAGGATAGTTATTGGAGTATTATAACAACAAAGTATTTTTAAGGAATTGGGTAATGTTGGTAGGATAGTTATCGGAGTATCAGAGCAAATTAGTTCCGTTAAGGAGTTGGGTAAGGTTGGTAGGACAGTTATTTGAATACTATAGCAATACAGCTTCGTTAATTTTCGATATCTTTGTAATCCTCCTAAGGCGTTTAATATGTCATCCTTATTAGATTCAGAAACCCTTAAACCTTTGGTTATATCATCATAAATAATATCTGTTACATCATTATCTAATCCTACTTTCATCTGATCAAATCGAATAATTTGAGAAGTTTCTTCGAATGAATTATTTACGTTAGAAACATTTGATTCGTAATTATTCATTTGATTGTTTTCTGTTATGTTCATCTTCACATTTAATTTATCAAATACTTGATTTATTGATGGACGATTATCTGGCTCATTATCCCAGCACCCTGAAATTAGTTAAAGATTTAATAATCATTATATATTCTTATAAATTATTATATAATCATATAATTACCAGTATAAATGTTCACATAATCATCAGGCGTATCGGGAATGATCCTTTCTCTAAGTCCACCCAAAATTTCGATAGCTAAACTTATGTCGTATTCTTCATCCTTAATATAAAAAGGAGGTCGACCGCTTGATATCTCCCACATGAGTACACCAACACTGTAAACGTCGCTTTTTTCGTTTAGTTTGAATTGTGGTGATGTATTGTCATTTCTTCGTCTGCTAAAAATTTTTGGGTCAACATAAGGAATTACTCCAAAAGTTTTTGATTGATTAGTTGTTGCTTCTATCCTTTTCGATAATCCAAAGTCGGCTAGTTTTATGACACCTTGATGAATTAATATATTGCCGGAATGCTATTATAAGCATATAAAAAAATGTTAATTTATATAAACAATAATTTGAAAAAATATATATATTATGCAAGATTACCAAATCACGATGTACAATTCCTTCGTTATGTAAACACGATACAGCACAAGACAACTGAAATGCCAAGTTATATTTATCTCCCCAAGCAAGCTTATCGAAATTATCCTTCAAATAGTTCTTAAGCGCACCACCGTCAGCATATTCCATTACTAACCAATATTTTTTTAATTGTTTATTTAATTCTATTTTATTTTTTTTAAAAAAAAAAAAAAAATATTTATTAATAAATTAAAATAATGTGAAAGTTAAAATACAAATATATATGTTCCCATTATTTAAGATTTTGTACCTTGGTTTGACGTAATTCCCAAAAAGCGGATGACATTGCTATGAAAATCAACTGCAAGTTGAAGTTCAAGCTAAATTATTAGAATATAAATATTAGCAAAGATTTTATACTAAAAAAGACCGAAATAATCGAAATAAACCGAAATATAATCTTTTATTTTGTACTTACCTCATGAATAATTTTTTTAACGGTATTATTACTAATGTTATGAAATGATTTTAAAGCGAAATGTTGATTGAACTTTTCCAATTTGCACGATAGACTTTCCCAAAGCCGCCTGTACCAATTTCTTGAAAATTGCTAAATTGGGTAAATTCATAATATTTGATACTTTTTTTTGAGATATATTCTTCGATCGACTCATTTGAATTATTGGCAACTTGCATTTTGATTAATTTAAAATTTATTTAAAAATAAAAATATTCCAGAAAAATAATGCACGTTTTATAATACTGCATTAAATAAGCCACCAGGTCATTTGGGTGATCGGCTATTAAAATCACCTTACGGATCTTACTATGTTCCGTAAGGTGATTTTAATAGCCGATCACATTTTTGATTATTGTATTTCTTTAATTAAAAAAGAACATATTTAATTAATTTTTTTTTTTTTTAAAAAGAAAAAAGAATAATAATAATTTGCTTTATACATTTCTAATTATAATGGTTTCATAAATTAAAAAATGAATTCTATTAATTTGAAATCTTGGATAGAGATAAGTCTTAATTCGTTCCGAGTTTAACTATAATCAGTTCAGTATATAAATTCTGACATAACGTCATTTGCATACTCAGGTTAGGATCGATTTTCTCTAAAAAAAATGTTTTAAACACGAATAAATAAAAAGCTTGCGTCATCGTTTTTTATTGTTTTGAATAAGCTTTGATAGCGTTGCACTCAGTTCTTAAAGTTAATGTTTATAAAAGGTTTTTAAATTAAATGCAAATTAATCTTTATTAATTTGTCGATCGTTGTGAAATTACTGCGGCTAATAAAAAAGGGGAATATCAATTTTTAATCTAATGAATAAATGCCATCTTTGCTATCTCTGAACATCCACTTTTTATACCTTAAATTAGAAAGGAATACTTGCCTAGAGGACAAGTTGACGAGGATGCTGACTCCCAAATCTAAGACAGCTGGGCACACTACACTTTAAGCAAACAATATATTCGGGATTAATACAACGATTTTTGGTTATTAAATTAACATCGTAACAACGGAAGTGAAATAAAGAATTGACGGATCCAAACTTCATTTGCACAAACACAAACAATTAATGATTGTAGTTGTTCTTTAGATTTTATTTTATAGAACACGAAATCGTCTCAACAAGCATGCACCTGCTGCGTTAACAAAACTTTATTTTGGGGTGAATATATGTTTGAATCAGTGTATATCCAAATATTCATTATCATATTTTGGATATCGATTGGACAATCAAACTATTTCTGAAATAGTAAACCTCGATTTCTGGGAAGTCTCATAAAATCTAATCTTTGAAGGATCTCTTTGATTTAATAGTTTTTCTTCCTAACAACGGAATAGGTCTTCAGGTAATCCATAAATCATGTCATGTTGAAAAATTCGAACCTTTTCCAAAAACGTTATCCATCATTCCTTTCCAGAATTATAATTCATCATGCGGAATCACGAACAATCGATACAACCATAAATACGGATGTCGAATTCATGTATTTAGCATCAATTCCGAATTCAGGAAGAAGTTTGCGACAGAAATGATGAACGTTATTATTCGAATATCTATGTTACATCGTACAATGTCAATATTCTTTCCAGAACAAGTTGTCTATTCTTTTATGAAGCTACGATAATTTCTGCATAAATATAAAAGGACAATGGCAAAGTAAATTTTACTATCCAAGAAGCTTTTTATTTTAGAAATCTTATGAGTTGATTCCTGGAGAACTTTTAGCCCCGATTTATGAACAAAAGCGGACAAGCCTTTAATAATATGAGCGGGTTTATGCTAACATTGGATACACATTTTATTCTGGTGTTCAACAATAAGATGAGCATTCAATGTTCGTATCTACTTCAATGATACATGCATCTGCACTTCGCATTGCCGATGAACGATTTGGATGACAATGAACTCGCTATTGACTTTTTGACGAAAATGATAATATAGAGTATTGGCTAGCAACAATCCGTTATTTTTTACACATACATTTGTATTGCCACAGGGTATACAGAGCATGTATTGGCATTAAGTTGATTGGTAAAGTGAACACAACAGCAACAAAAAAATATTATTTAAACGGGTTTTATCTAGAGCACTTGATCGGGTTGCACAAAATGGCATAAATCGTGGAAATCTTTACTAGAAAACTTTCACATGAAGATATTATACCAGTTGTATGTCTATTTTATGAAAGCAACATATTGTCCTCAAAGCAGTCGAACACTTAATAGCTGTCATACATTAAATAGGCGTTTTTCATTATATCAGCGTATGAATAATTATTGCTTATTATATCATCATGAAATTTCTGTTAAAGTTCTTAATTTAAAAATAAAGAAATAAATAATTTATAAATAGGATGTGAAAATTTGCTAGAAATTTCGTCTAAGTTAGAAATGATGATTTTAAGATTTAAATTCTATTTTTTATTGTAAAGGAACGAATTTTCATTTTTGTTAGCAAAGTTGTATATATTTAAATCGAAGTCCCATTATGCACCATTTAATTTTAGCCCCGAGTCGTCATATTTTTGAAGTAAATTGTAAAAACATTAAATAATAATTTATGCCAAAATTACAAAAAATTTTTCAGCCGAATTTAACAAGTTTGCGTAATGTCAATCAAATTTTATAATTCTCTTTAAAAACAATAAATTAATTGGCGATTTCTGAAATTTCTTATATATCACATCACTTCGACCAGTTTAATGTTTCTTAAATCGTAGAACTCCTTTTTTTATATCAACGTGATGAACGTAATTCAGTTGAATTAGCGCAGAGGATTTGTTGAATGGACAGTTTCCCGTAACTAAATTAGATTTGCATAATTTTTCGTTTTAAGTTAGAATCCTGGTTATCTTTTTTCTTTGTAGCATGTTGAACTTATTACGCATTTTTTTTAAAAAAATTAAACGAAATATGAACGTTCATCAAGACATTGTTAAGCTTGAACTGTTCGTCGTTAAGTTAATAAAGGTTATTGCTAGCAAGGAGTTTAAGTACGTCCAAACTATGGAAGAAATAAACACGAATAATTAAATTGAAGGGTCAGGTCGTCTTTATTGATATAGATTTAAAGAAAAATGAATTATTAACGAGCAGGAATAAGTTTTAGATATAAATGTTATTGATTTATTAGAGAAATTGTAGCGATTATCGAGGCAGAAATACAAGATAGTTATATAAAATACATCAATAGTAAATAGATATTAGAGAAATATAAGAAATGTAATAAATATAAGAAATTAAATATATTAAAGAAATGTGATTAGAGATCGCTAAGATATTATAGAAATGAAAGAAATTAGAGAAATGATAGAAATTAGAGAAATTAGAGAAAGTTAAGGTCAGGATCATCATTCGCTAATTCTAATTGGCGCCAACAATTATGGTATAAGGGAATATATAATACAAAGGAAATTAGAAACGACTGTTTCCCAGTCTACTATATACTATAACATTTCTAAACAAAAAATAATAGAAATGTAGATCACTGAAAGCACAATGGTCGTCCCCAACAATCTCTTCCGAAAGCTATAAAAATTGGTTTTAAAAGTAAAAAAGAAGCCTCAATATCAAAAGAGCTAGCCACCAAATTATTTAAAAAAAAGTACAGGTCTCTCATGTAATCGTTTGGATTCATTTAAGCCAACTTGACTATAAAAAAAATCGAGCAGAGGTGACACCCATGCTTACTAAAAACACATTCAAAACGTATAGATTGTATAGATTGGGTGTCAAAAATATCTCTATAATAATTGAACCAAACAGTCAGTTGTTCAGGAATACGGTAAAATATTTGTATAAAGGTGAACGGCCAGTGCGACGAATTCCAAAGGATAAAAAAATATATTTTTGCTTCGGGTGGGTTTTGGTTAAGAGGGAAGAAAATGCTTTTTTGCTTCCAAAGGATAAAAAGGATAATGTATGTTTTGGTTTATTTTGAAATTATAAAAATACACTTTCCTGAAATTAAAAAAAAAAGCTAGCTTGAAGTCGTTGGCAGTTCCGACATGACAATGATCCTAAGCATAAAAATAAAGTAGTAAACGCATTTCTAAAAAAAAACGCCCCGATAATTATTGATTGGACTTCTAATAGTCCCGATTATAATTCTGTAGAAAACTTATGGAATATTGTTAAGGGAATGTTGAAAAACGGTGGCCAAAAAAACTTAAATGAATTAGATCGATTTATGAAGGATGAATGGGAAAATCCCTGAAAGAAATCTAACGAATTTGGTGTGAAGTAATGTAGGCTTGTAATTGGGAACGTATCCCATATTAAGTTTTGATAAATAAACCAACTTTTGGCTTTCTAACGTGCTCTCCATATTTATCAGCTTTCCAGATTTTGCATTGCATTGCATACCATCTTTGGATTTGTTTGCATGTTACTCCTTTTCAATTACGAATCTAAGGTATTACCGATAATGAAATTTTAATCTAATGTAATGTAACGTAAATATTATTTAGGTTTTTTTGTCACAATAAATGCGTAAATAAAATCCGTAGCAAACATAGCGGAGACTGACCGACCAATGATATTTTGTTTATATCATAACGTGTTATGGCTTTTGTGTTACAAAATATTAACACGCAACGATATATTTATTGTTACAAGACATTGTCGCGGGTAGATATGATCTGCGAAAAAACTAAAATTAACTGAACCTGAACACCAACAAATAATCGTGACATTATACAATAAATATATTATATGATTTTATGACGTTATGCCATGGGTTCTCCTTATACAATACAATCGTTTTTTTTTTTTTTTTGGTAAATTGGATAACATTTAGGTGATGATTTTATAAAGTATAATTTATCGTTTACAAATTAAGTGAAATTATATCTTTAAAAGAAAAACCTTAATGCGTTTATATTATAATTATTATTTGTCTTGTGAGAAAATCCAAAAAGTATGTTTGTTTTTTATAAGCTTACAATTATCTATTTGCAGCGGAGTTCAACAAATTTACACCAAATAAATTGCATATTGATATACTACAGTTACTTCATACCTCGTAAATATTAAAATTTGTAAATACTATGTTACTCATAAAAAAAAATAAATATATAAATAATAAAAAATAAAGATAAATATTTATTTTCAATTAAATTCAACTAACTTGATTAGCAAGTTTTTGTAGAAACTTTTACCAATCTACATACCTGTCAATCATGTTATCATACCATATATGAATTATCATTTTAAACTCTTTTTTCTTAAAAATGTATAAAAAGTAACATTAAAGGTAAAAAAAGTTACTAAAGAAAGAACGGAACATAAAGCATGAATCTTCACAAAACAAGTTTATTTGACAGTTGAACCTGAAAATATATCTAAATAAAAAAATATAATGCATATTAGAGCCAGTTTCAGATGCCAAGAAAACATTCTCATTAGAAATAATTGTGCAGCGCACGATCTTGCCCAAAAGGAAAAGATGCTCGGGTATTCGCGTCGGTTACTGAGATCGGGATCTCCGTAAATTTAATGATTTTGGATACTAAAGATTTAATAAATTTGAAATATGAAAAAATTGCAATAAATTATTAACAAATATTTAATCGATTAAATATATTTAAATTTTATTCTGGTAAAGAATATTTATAAATTATATGCTTCAAACTTAGTAATGCGTTGCGTTTTAAATTTTTTTTTTCAAAGATGCCTCTACATTATTAAGTGAATTAAATTCATTTTTTGCCAACCAACTATAATTTAATAAAAAAAAATAATGTTTTTTACTTATATAATATAGTTTGTAAGCAATTTAATTTCTATTGTACTTTAACATGACATGATAATCTAAATGCAACTAAACTTCTTATTTATAAAATTATCATATGATCAATAGTTAGTTATTTAATTTTTTGTATTTTAATTAAACAACTAATTTATTTTAACAAAATTGTTAATGGTTAACAATATTTAGTCAGTAAGCTATTTTATTAAGTATAATTTTTGATGATAATTTAAATCTACTAAATATTTATTCAAAATATTAAAAGGAAAGTTATATTTATAAAATTAACTATCATCTAATGATAGTTAGGCAGCCAATTTCCATACTGGGCGTATTATATTTCGTTTGATTTATGGAATAATCAAATTACAGATTTGGTTAAGTTCGGGCCTAAATTTAACTCTCCATTTGTAGTTGGGGGGCAAAAACTCATTTTAACAAATGGTAAATATCGTAAATCTACGTTTTGGAGGAAATTATATTTGCCCCGCAACCTGTCCTGTCTTTGTTTTAAAAGTTTATTTTTTTAAAAAAAAAATATGCATTATTTTTAGTTTTAAAATACACGTTTCACGCGAAACATTTCTTTTTTGTTTTTAAAAATTCTTTATTTTATTATATACGGATAGTTATAATAATGAAAATACAAATGTTTTAAAAGAAAATAAAGTGGCGCAGTGCTACGAAGGCGCAGTCATTCTGCAAGTAATTAACAATTAATCATTTCGGTTTCTTCATCGTCAACTTTAATTATTTTCTTTTGAAACCACCCTCTTTCTTGAAATTTGTGTTCTTTTATAAGGATCCAAACATGATGCTCCTTTTGTATGCTTCTTTTGTATGATTTTTACTTGTCTTTTTTCTCTTGCTTCTTCAACCAAAATTCCATGATTATTGTATTTCTTATATCCTTTAATTATCGTTTCTTCAGTATGATATTCAATGATAGACTTTGTCGCAATTTTAGTTTTTGAGAGTATATCTTTTAAGTTTTTTAATTCCGAAATTTCAATAACTAAAATAGTTTGTTCAGATTGTTTTGCAATATTTCTAGCTGCTACGTTAAGAGAATTATTTGCAACTATCATTAATCCGATATGATCAGGATATCTCGTCAAAACTCCTTGCAACGCTGATATATCATTATGCATTTGAGACGTTTTACATTGAACTATAAATTTAATTACATCACCTTCAATTTTGATTGATCCTATTCCATCAAATCCATTATTTCCTATTATGGTTCTTTTTTCTTGTCCTGTTTTATTATCGCGTATATATTTATGATTATTCGTTAATGTACAAATTCCTTCATTTTTTTCTATATATTCCTTGGTTATTTCCTTTATCCAATTTTTTCGTTCGTAATTATTTATTACATTATTTCTTTTATTTACAGTTTCTCGCGTAATGGTTTTTTTTACACTCATTATTATTAATTTTTTTTTTTTTTTTTTTTTTTTTTTTTTTTTTAACAGCAATACAACGTTCTTATATATTTTTTGGAATGTGCGACATAAAAATTTGTCCGACGATCAGGAATTTTTATGAATCGGATGATAATATATAAAATATCGATCGTTGGAAAACATACTCCGTTGTTGATCCTGATCTACACCTTATCCATCCTTTTTTAATATCATTAACTCCGAGATTCTCCTTCGTAATTTGGATTCGATCATCTTGATCCATTCCATCTTCATCTAAAAAAATTTTTTTTATTCAACCTTATCTGCGGATTTGCATACTAAAAACAATAAAGAAATTTTTATTTATATGCTTGTCCTTTTTTTTTTTTTTTAAAAAAAAAAAAAAAAAAAAAAATCTCTCAACAAAATTTTATCAATATTATCAAGCTTCATATCTATTGTATAAATTATTTTATGTTATGTAATACTTCTAATACTTGTATTATGCAATGATATTTAAAGAATTTCTTGGCAGAAAATGGAGAAGCAGATAAAGAAGGAAAGCAACTTGCAAAGAAAATAAACTGTTACTTTGTGAAATGAAAAATGCTTTATAACCTATATATTATGTAAAAATGATTAAGCAAAGTTCTGCCATTTAGAGTTCGAAGATCAATTCCTTTCAAAAGATTAGTTATTAAAAAATCTCACATGATCCGCGTAACTGATCACTCACCCATTTACTTTATCAAATTATACACATAAAATAACTGGAAATTAACAGTCAGTTAGTGTAAATTTGGCCAGAATTAACGGAATATAATAATCTTTAATTCTGGCCAAATCTTTCAATAGTTTCGGCCGAAGTTAAGTTTAACTGTTTAACCTGAGCGATTAAAAAACTTTAACCTGTAGATGTCTTATTTTACTAACTAACCTAAACTTTGATCAATATTAAAACAACTTTAACAAGGCAAGGTAGTTTATAATCAATTCTGAATACAAGTACAACATTGCGTTATTATTAAATAATGATAATTTATGGAATTAGAAAATATCGAATGACGTGACTTGTTCCATTGATAATGTCAATTATGTTGATCAAGTTTCCTTTTCAACTACGAAAGAGTGGTTTGGCAGTATTATTGTTGCAGATCGGTATGATCTTTCTTGTAAGATACAATCATATATTTTGAGACTATATAGTATATAAGTTCAGTGATACAAGTTAGTACGGACGAATAAAAAAAAAATAATTTTCTGTACTTGGACGGACACGAGAAAAAAATATTCGAATTTTTCTGTACATACATAATTTTCCATACGGTCGAAAAAAAAAATTCAATATTCCGTACTCTTTAGTACGATGTAATGATTTATATCATGATTTAACGATTAATATGGTTTGCAATGATTTTAATTTTATTTTATTGATTTATTGTAATGATAATTTTTTCATTTTATAAATATCTCTTTAATTTTCAATTCACTTTACATTTTAATGAAAATTAAATTGTAAAATATGGATCTTAATTTTTAATAAATATTAGGAATTATCTGAAACTGAACCATTAAAAGAAGATTTATCTAATGATGATGAAGAAATCCCAAAAATTGCTTGCTTTATGTCTTATTTTCATATAAAAAATATAATTCATTTCAATATGCCTGTAGAGTTAGTTATACATCAACTTTGCCAGAAGGTATTATATTGTAGATTGAACAGGCATGGAAAACTGTAATAAAATGATTAAAGAAGAATTGGAATTAAAATTATAGTCAATTAAAAATTAAATTTTATGTATGATAGTATGATGATTTTGCTGATTTAGTTTTTTTCCTTAATGTTAGTATTTTTTTATCATTTAATTAACCTTTTTTCTTTAAAATTATTGCTTTATCATTTTATAATAATGCCTATATTATCTGACACAGAATTAAATGAAATGGATGAACTGATAGATTTTGATCCTTTTGTAAGTTAAAAAAAATTGAATAATCAAGTAAAAATGAAAAAAGAAATTATAAAAAAACAATGTAATAGAATAATTAAATGAATTTTTTTTTATTTAGGTAATAGAAATTAATTTAAATATTAAGGATGACATAAAGTCTGAAATAACACTATTTACAAAAGAACTAAAATCAGAGATGTTAGATATTCTTTAGTTCTAATTGAATATAACAATCTTAGAAGAAGAAATTATACATATATGTATATCATGTTGAAAATTAACAAATCCTAAATTTATATTTCATAATATAAAGATATTTTACAAAGAATGACAATTATTTTTAAAAAAATGATCTAATACTTACTTTCTAATTACAGTAATAATTCTGCTAGTATTAGATATCCATTTTTAATAAAGATAGATGATCCTAAAAATAAAGATAGTTTAGATTAAAAGGCAATAAAGTATTTTAAGATGTTAAAATCTACCAAATATTATGTAAGTATTACATACTAAAGAGATTCTTAAAACTAAACTATTTATTTGTAAAAATAGTTCAGTAATATTATACCAGGATTGGCATTTGGCCATTGGCCATGGCCAAAATGGCCAAAAATTTTTTCAAGTTTTAGCTGGCCAAATTGGCCAAATATATATTTATATTTACTAATCTGATAATTCTAATTCAAATTAGTTAAATAGCAATAATTTGGTAACCAGTAATTGTAAAAGGATAAAATATAGCTTATTAGAATCCTTATAATAAGTTACATCAAATGGTAGTATTATAAAAAATTTATGATTGATAAATAAATATTTATTTCAAAATTTATTGAATTATAATTTGCTAATAATATATTATCTATTGATTCTAAAGATTGAAATTAGTATCATTTGACATAGATCATCATAATAATTTAACAAATTATATTTTATCTTTTTTATAATTACTAATTAACAAGTAATTGCAATTTAATTTACTTGTATTAGAATTGTTTTTGATATTTTTGATAAATTAGTATATAATCAATTTATTATATTATTTAAAATTTAATATTAGTCTATATTTAAAATATTAAATTTTAACTTTATTTATTTAAATAAAAACAAAAATATGATTTAAAAAAAATAATTATTATATTTAGCTATTATATAAATTTTATAATTATTCATCAATGAAAAATGATATTTCTAAATCATCAATAAAATTTGTTCAATATTTCATTTTGCTTCTTGATCTAATGCAGGATGTATTTGATCAATTAAAATATCATTAATTTCAATATCAAAATCCAAATCTATTTCATCTATTTCAGCTTGTTATTCTGCTTCTTTTTCTTGTAATAATAAATGTTTCCAATTTTCAATTAATTTATTCCAATTTGAAATTTGAGTTTCATCATCTATTTCATCATTATCTAAGTCTTCTTGTATATTTTTCTCTTCTTGAATATTAATAGAAATTTCTTCTTATGCATTTTCTTTATGAATATTAATTATATTTTCTTCATCTAAATCTAATTCAGTTATTAGACCGCAATAATTGACGCCTCTAAAATTCAAAATGTTCAATTAATTGCATTATTGCAATAATTGACGTCTCTGATATTTAGAACGTTCAATTAATTGCATTATTGCAATAATTGACACCTTTGACATTCAGAACGTTTAATTAATTGCATTATTGTATTTTTTGCAATTGATTGAGCGTTCTGGCATCAATTATTGCAAAATTGTCAATAATTGATCGTTCCGAATATCAGAGGCATCAATTATTGCAAAATTGTCAATAATTGACTGTTCCAAATGTCAGAGACGTCAATTATTGCATTTTTGCAATTAATTGAACGTTCTGAATGTCAGAAGCATCAATTATTAAATAAATGCAATATATTGAATATTCAAGCCAAAAAAATTAGCAGTGTCATGTGACCTTTGACATTTGGCCATTGGTCACAGGTAAATTCCAATTGGATTTTAGCTACAGATCTTAGCCGATTATTTTAGCCAATCGGCCAAATTGGCCAATGACCAAAAAATTAACCTTAGTGATAGCCAAATACCATTACTGTATTATACTAAAACTTTGTATAAGCTGAGATATCTTAAAAGTGTTATAAGTTAGCATATAAAAGTTTAGCTCAAGTTACAATAAAATGGCTTATGAGCTGATCAAGCTAGCTTATGCTATAGCTCAGCTCATAATGCAACTTGACTTATTGACTTAAATTTTCAATAAAAAATCTAAAAGTATCTAATGTATTTTAGTTGTAGATAAATATTCCAAAGTGTTAACTTTTAAAAAAATGCTTTCAAAGCTTTAACTTTGAACAAAAATGCTTTGTAACATTAAAAATCTTTTAAATAATAAAGGTATGATTCATATTATTCTGATTTATAACAGCTAATTATATGAATTGAATTAGTTAACAAATCTGATAAATATAAAAAATTATCATATTTAACTAGTAATATCTAACAAAATTACCTTTCTTAATATAACGAAATTAATGAAATTAAAATGATAAAACTAGTTTTTTATTAATGACAAAATTATTTTACTTAATTGCTGAATTTATATTTAATTTGATCTAAGTTATTTAAATTAAAATACATTAAAAATATAATAATTTTATATTTATTATATAAAATATTAAAGAGATAAATCCTTTTAACAAAACTACAATTTTTCAAAAAAAAGTTTAAGCAGATATCATTACATTTGACTGATGATCTATATAAATTATATTATTATTTATCATATTAATTACATATTAGATAGATTTATTATATTTACTATATTAATTATATTTATTATATTTATCATATAATAGAGGTGAAATCTGATCAATTTGATCATCTGTTCACTTCAATTAAAGTCACATAACTTTATTATTATTTTCCATATAAATCATATAGAAGGTTTGCTAGGAAAATGTGACTGAGCATTTTTTATTAAAACTTTAATTTTTATTGCATTTTAATCTAATATTATCGAAAATTAAAATGCAATAAAAATTAAAATTTTAATAAAAAATACTTAGAGCCCCATTTTCCTAGTAAACC